AGTCCATTCTTTCAGACTTTTTGGAAATGGGTCAGAGGGATTCGAGGAGATGGTCTTGTCCCCCCTGCTAATCGACCTTTGGGCGATAGTGCATGGCCGCTTCTGTGCTGGTGCTTTTGTTTGTTGTGTCTCCGTGGACTAGACCAAGGATGTGTGTCCCAGAAAAGTGCTGCTGCTCTACCCCTGCATGGCGCCTTCTCCAGCCAGAGCTTGTTCTTTCTCAAGGCATGTTATTACCAACAGCCCTTGGTTGGCTCCACAGCCACCTGTCTATCGGTGTTTGGGACAAACACATTAGCCCCATATCCTCCTGGATCCTACACCCTGGCGGGAGGCAGGGCCCGCACACGGGACAGACCCAGCTGGGGCAGCTCCTGGGGGGAGCCCCAGTGTGACACGAAATGGTACGTGTGTTGAATGAATGCCCGTTTTCTCGGCAGTCCTGCCTGGCATGGCTGGACTGCCGAGAGCGAAGGAACGAGGGAAAGGGAGGTAATCCAAGGAGAGACATGCTGCGGGCTGCTGTGGGTGCGCAGAGGGCAGGGAAGGCTGCGGGAAGACAGAGCGTAAAGGGAACCCGCAGAACGAAACACTGTTTGTCAGAGAGTATCTCCTGCAGCATTATGTTGTTCCGTAGGAACAGCTGGAGTGGTTCCTTCTGTCACCATCCAGCACCTACTGTCCAGTGCAAACCTTGGGAAGAAGGATTTTGCAAGGTGACCCTCGCCGATTTCTGCCGACAAGACAACGGGGCACTTCAACCCCCGGCCTTTGCGTGGCACAAAGCGCCTGTGCGGCGCTGCAGTGGTTTGAAGCCACTGGAACACCGGGAGCACGGACAGGGAGCCACTGGAACACCGGGTACACAGCCAGTGGCTGTGGTACCAGGGCGGGCCGGCTTAGGACTTGCTGCTCCCCGAAGCAAACAAAAATCAGTCAGACCCGCTAGCATGAAATACACTTTATTTTTCATATTTTTTAATATTTTTAAATGTCTTGTACATATTTTTGTAGCTCTATGCATTGGCATTAATACCACGCATTTCCGCCCTCACGCCCTCCCCCGCGCCGCTGCAGCCGCTCAAGAACGCCCACAAAGCACGTCTGCGAAGCGATTCTAAGCTCCCGGTATCCCTCGGTTTATCCAGCTACGTGTCCAACCTCCGGAAAGCGCTCGCGACCCAGGAACGCTCCTGGGCGCATGACGGCTCCTGACGTCACTACACGCCACGGCCCCCGCCCCCTCCGCGTGAGGCCCCACCCCGCCCCTCCCGCCGTGTGACGGCGCAGTGCGGGCAGGGCCTGCCTCGCGTCGCCGGGTAGTGACGTCAGGGCGGCGCGCCGGGGCGAGCGGTGGTGGCGCGGCCGTGGAGGTTCTCGGTTCGTCCGAGGCCGGGAAGGGACCAGTAGAGAGGGAAAAGCGGTTCGGCTTCCAACATGGAGCCGCGGCTGTTTCGCGGCGGGCGGTACTGCTCCTCCGCACCAGCCCCGGCTTCTGCTCCCTCGGCCTCCCGTTGGCGCTGCCCGAGCCGCCGCGGCTCCGGCGCAGAGTGTCCGCCGCTGTGCCCGCTCCGCTGCACTGCCCCCGGGGGTGGGCAGCGCGGCCTTCCTTACCTTCTGTGCTGGCACTGGCAAAGGGTCTGCTCGGAGCTGGAAAGAAATAACTGTTACCTAATTCCAGGGAACTCTTTCCCGCTTTCTGCTTGAAACAGTTTTCGGTCGGGGTAGAATTAACGAGAAGGCATCGAAGGGATATGAGCATTAAACTGCTTGGTTTACTGTCAAAACTTGTTTTTTTTGCGGGAAAGAACATGTATTGGCCTTTATTAAAAGTGGTTGTTTTCCTGTTGCAGGCTAGAATCCAGCAGGTTTTGTGCAGAGCAGAGTCTTCTCTTAATCAGATGCAGGCTGAGTTCAGCAGTGGTGAGTTGTTTCTCCAGTTTGTTACCTTAGGAGACAGCAGTGTGTGTAAAATACATGAACGTGGCCCTAAATGCAGTACTGATGCTGCTTCCCACTTATGCTTCTGTGAGCTTTGCTTCCCATGTCTCAGATAAAGTCAAGTCTGTAATGTGTCTGATGTGGCTTTCAAATTAGCATCCATAATGTATTAGAACTACTCAAGTTTTTACAAATAGCATGTTCCCTCTGGATTTTGGTTTCCTGAAACTTCATTGCAACAATTTTTTCATTGCTCTCTGTTTTTCTTGTCTCATTCTTTCCTTGTACTGTTCTGCAGAGGAGCATTTACTATCATATGTATAAATGACATAGTAAAGGTTTTTGCCACCCATGCTTTATGTATAAAATTTTGCAACTGTATCATCAGAAGTAGAATTTAACTGTAGTTAAACTGGAGTGTCTTAAACCCATTCCAGAGCATGAGGCAGACTGAAACTTGTATTTCCATCTCAGTTGTTGTGCACTAGTTTGTTCTAAGTGTTCTGCAATGTCTTTTTGAAAGTCTGTTAAAACGAGGTGAATTAGGAAGAAGTCAACAGAATGAGATTGACCTTGTTATACTGGTCATCCTATAAACTTACTATTAAACATTAAAAATATTCTTCCGTTGTCTCTGTATCTATTTGGCTTTTTCTATGTCATCAATACTGAACCCTGTGACAGTCTCTTCTGATTTAGTCCTTGAAATTATCCCACTCATTTGTTTACTGCCTGGTTTTTCTGTTGGGTGTTTTTGGTCACTTTGGTGACTGTTTAACCTGAAAGGCCATTCTTCTCCTCAGAATTTTTAATATGAACTGACTTGCTTCCCTTAACATTATTGTCAGCCTTGCTCACTGCTGTCCTTTATTCCTGTGTTCCTTGTTCTTTTATTTTTTGTGTCTTCTGCATGCTTTTTTCAGGCTTAGATTTTAATTTCTGTAAAAATGAAGTTTTGGAAGTTCTATTCCTCTATTTCTGTCAATAGCAGTATGGGAAAAAAACACCTCTAACTCTTTCCTGCTGAAACGTTTTTAATTTGTTTTCTTTGCTGTGATTTAAATTGGGCAAATTAAAGGTAGCCTTGTTCATTTACATAAAGAAAAATCAATATGTTGGTTTTGGAAAATCGTGGTAATGCCTAACATTAGTCATTGTGGTGATTTTGGTGATTACTGTAGTTGTTAGTGGCTTTAGGTAGTACCTTTCATAATCAAGATACTACTAGTTCTTTTGGGTTCACTGTTCAGTAGAAGTATAACATGGCATGATTGATACAGGTACTGCAATGTTAGAAAAGAGATTCATGGAAGAGTTGGTAGAAGGCTGGAGAGATCAGTGTAACTACCAGCTTTTCCTGAAGCTGTCAGTATTCTAGCTAATGTGTTGTATCAGTATCATTGTGAACTCCAGCATTCCTATTACTTGTTTCAGAAGGTGTTCTTGTGGCTTTTCAGCACAAGAACTTTGTTTTTCCTGTTTTTCTTAAAACAAATGTGCTGTAAAAGACAGTAGTAAGTTTCTAATTGAACCTTACAAGCTGCAGTATGTAGCTATATTGTTGTTTATTAGTTGTGTAATCTGCTGACAAGAAGCAGAAAGTCATCTCGGTAAGTGCCTTTCTAGTTTTAAGTGTCTATGAAGTCTTCCCTTAGCTTCCACTTCATTAAAAAAGTCCTCAGCCTCTCCTCATAGTTAATTGGCTTTAGATCCCAGACAGTAGCTCCGGCCTTTCCCCAGTTTCTTCCTACTCGAACTGACAAAAGGGAGAACTGTGAGAAACCAACTGGAGACTGTTCTAGAAGCAGTCTCAGACACTGACTAAAAGAGGATAACAACATCTCTAGAATCACTTGTGCTCTTAAAGTATCCCAGAAAATGTTTGTACTATGATCGGTGAGAACACGCTGTGTTTTATGTGATACATTGGCTGCTTTGTCTCCTTCTGATTTCATAAAATCAT